TGAGATACATAAGCTTCCTTGGAAAATCAAATAGTAAATAATTTAAAAGCATGGCTAACTTCAAACTGTTAGTAGCTTTGTTGAACAGCTACAGTTTTTTTTTGAGGGTGCCTAAAGGAACTTCGCACCTATATTCTATTCATGGTCAGTGGAAACTCTTTACCTAAATCTTGTTCATATTTTGAAAGTCTCATCCAGTGGGATTCTGTATGCTAAGTAAGGCTCAGATATGTTACTGAAATGCTGTCTCACTGCATTTTGAGTATCACCACCATTTAATGTAGCTTTAAAGCATTGGTGCAGCTGACGCTGAATGCCTGTCTCTCTTGACAGCATTATGTCTTTGGAAGACGCAGATCTGAACCAAAGCTGCACATCAATAAATGGACTTGGCATATGTTCACATTGCACCCACCACAGCAGAATGAACGAAAAGTCAAGACCACCCTTGACTTTTCGGTGCAAGGGACACACAAGGTTTTGGTTATCACATTGAGGCATGAGTTCTTGACAAGTATTTTCAGCAATGAAGATGGCTTCAGCAGTGTTTCTGCTGGCATCTGCAAGATCTTGCTAAGCTTCTACGAAGAGTTTACTACTTCATGTGGCATTGTCCGTGGAGCTGAAGGATCCCTGCATTTCTGTGGCTCACTGCTGACAACTATGACTACTTGTTCAAGTTCTCCTAATCCTAGATGAACATTTGGAAAGGCTTATGAGAATGTATAACGTGTCTACACACATGCATATGATGACACATGACACACACATAGTGGAGCAGTGTGTTTGGCTGCCCCTTTGACTCATGATGATGATGATGATGATGATGAGAGAAGCTGGGATCCAGAAGAAGCCAAGTTCTGAGTTGAGATGAGCTACCAGAGGAAGTGATGAGGCAGCAGCTGAACCCTGAGTAGCACAGCCAAACTTGGCCGTTCCTACAGACCCCTTACATCGCTGGAGTGCTACAGAGGTATCTTAAGGGGAGCAGAATGGTCTCTCAGAGAATTATTCTCATGCTTGAGCAATGAAGAACCATGGTGTGCTTCTTCATATGATCCATCCTCCCAGATTTTGGGAGCAGGAGAAAGCTTATGCCATATTGCTCAGCCCTCAATCGTTCTGTACTGCAGCACAGCTCAACAGTAAGCTGGAGTAGCTACTTGCTTTAGTTTATGTTGGCGACCACTTTGGCTTTCTAGTTGACCCAGAATATCTCAGTTGGCCCAGAAGATGCAAAACTAGCAACATCCTGCTATCCTTCCTGGAGCTTGTCTTCTGTGCATCTGAGACAGCATATAAACTGTCTCTAAGTCTCTGTTTCAATCACCACAGAATTTGAGATCCAGGATCCTTCTACTTTGTCTCTATCCTAGAAAGATTAGAAGATGGTCTTAAGTGTTTTAGAATGAACTGCTCCCAAAACTTCTGATGGAGATGACCTTTCCAAACTTTGGACAGGAGACTTTGGTGCTTCGCAACTGATGGAATTCTTCAGGAAACACAGTATCATTTATCAGTTTAGATCATTACCAGGACGGAATCCCAATCCTATTGTATTTTATTTCTTTGCTGCATACAGAACCTCCAAGCACAAAAGACTTAAACATGTATTCAAGACCCAGGGAGGTGACGGGTTTCCCGTGTGCCAGCTCCTTCCTCTGCGTGCAGCCAGGCCAGCTGCGACTAGGTGGCAGTACTCCACTGGGCAAACCAAGCCTCTGCATTTAGTACCAACTAACCGTTTCAGCTCACAGAAAAGCCAGCCTGCATATTCCAATTTATGGAAAAATAGAGGGTAAATAAAAGTCACCAAAGCCTCCTGAAGTCTTATATCAGGACAGCTGGAAAGCTACGAGTGAACTGAGCCATTCAGTTGCAATGAAATATAATACCACATTAAAATCACTCTAGTTTGGACACCAAAAAAGGAAGAAAAACAGAAAAAAATCTGCAGTCATTTTCTCAAGGCCTCAGACTGTTCCTCCAGACAAAGTTCACAGTTCCCACATTCACCTGGAACTGGAACCACTCTGATAAGGCAGATGCAGCATGAATAGTTCAACGGAGCTTTTGTCATTTTGGCTTAGTTTTGTCTCGAACACGATGAGATAACATCGTCTCTCACAAGTCAATTTTATGAGGATCTGTCAACTCAGTTCCCATCTGTTCTGGAAAATAAGCTTTTTCAGGTTAGGGTAGGATGTGGAGTCAAATCCACAGAGCACAGATTTAAATTAAAGTACTTGAGGCCCCTTGCTATTGCCAGGTAGTAAGGGGAGGGTTTGCATTTGAGCTTTCATGTCGAGCTGGTTTCTTTTTCAAGCCTTTTATTACCACTTATCATTTATAAAGACAAAGTATATACAGCAAAGAAGAAAAGAAGGAAGAAGCAGTGCAGTGTATAAGAATGCAGTCTATACAGCGCTGGGGAGATAGAGCAGGTAGGAAGGAAAGTAGAGATTCATTAAGTTAAAGGTATTCACTTACAACTACAAAATGTGAATAAAGTCTGATAGGAGAAAGTAAGGCACTGCCTAATGTAGAAAATAAGAATCGGAGCATTAGAGTAGCATGATACAGACAAGAGATCACAAAGCTGATTTCTTACAGTGCTCAGAGTTGACCATTAAATATTGGTAAGATTGGGCTATGCACTCTGGTCTGGCTCTTTATGTGTGTATATAGATATATAAACTGTCATTGCTGCTAAACATCCAACATGTGGAACTGCATACTCTGCTACATGCTATTGAAAAGCAAATGTGTCTAACATGAAGTCGATAGACCTCGGGCAGCTTCAACAGCTACATCCTGAGCTCTGGTCACCAGTGTCAGCTTGCTGTTGGAGATGTCTGCTCAGAGCTGCCACCCCCTCCTGGGAGCTGAGCGCTGAGCTTCACCTTACAGCCCTTTAAGAGATCAAGAGACAGTAAGTGGCAGTATTTGCACCAAAATTGCCAAGGTATTAACATTGATTTCTTTCAATAATGGTGACATATTCATAGCCTTATTTCATCACCCTCCATGGAATCCTAAACGCTCCACTAATGAAGAAATATCTGCTTCTGCCTGTGCTCTGCCGCTGTCAATGGTGAAGAAAACAAAACTTGTCTCCTTAGGTATTGTGCACTATTCTCATATTCAGCTATTACTTACATTCACAAAGACTACAAAAAGCTTTTCATTAATCAATTATTAAGAGAGTCAGGAGTGATCTATAACTTCACAGACTGTGCTATATAGAAAAAGGATTCTGGTGATTGTTCCTCGAGTACCTCTCTCAGCCCCGTTTGCAGCAAGCATCTGACAGGAGGGAAGCTGTCTGGGTAGAGTAATGCCTTTCCTCTGCCCCAGAAATTTCTGCCCAGGTTTAGCTGAGTTGGGAAGAGTTAAGAACTGTCACAGTTTTTAATTCTTTTTGTCTGTTTGCATTCCTCATAAAATGTTGGCAGTTTGCTGAAATCACTGAACATTACAAAGGCAAAGCCAGCCTAACAGCTCTGCCAAAGCAGCAGCTGCAGGTATTGGATAGAGGACACCTCTGAACTTTCAAAATGAGCCGTGGTAAGAATGTGTGTGTGTGTGGAGGAGGGGAGAGCTAGCTTCTGCCCCACAGCCCATTCCCACTCTTAGCCTCAAATCCCTCCCCGTAGGCAACATCTGACATGAGAGTTTTTCCAGCTCACACTGCCCCCCTGAACCCATTCTCTCCCAAAGGTGAATACAGCACCAAGCCACCTCTTTGCTTCCAAGAGAAAGTGAGGAAAATATTTTCCTGAATCACTGAAGTGATTGATGTCTGTGCAATGCTGGTGATAGCTCAAGGTTTCAAACGCTACTGTGCATGGAAGACTACTGTGTCATTCTGAGACAGACTCACCACATACAGAAGAAAAAACCTGAGAAGGAACTGGAAATTACCCTGGTCTACTCAATGGGTTTCTGCAAAACTCTGATGTTAGAGCAGCATCATACGCTTTGGGGGGGGGGGGGGGGAGGGGGGGGGGTGCTAGCTAGGGTTAGCAATATACTGACACCAGAGCAGTATCACAGTCTAGACATACTTTGCTCCAGTATGATTTGGTGCCAGTGCTATCCTAACATCTGAGACTTGAACCCTGTGCTGGCCACCAGGCATGCAGCTTTGCCCATCCTCCATAGATCTGAGCATCAGGGAGCACCTGGGACTGGAAAGAGGCTCACTGCCATCTCTGGAGCAAAGATGAACTGTTGGTATGTGGGGCTGGGGGTGCCTTTTGCTTTCAGAGAAGGAAGAGATGTGAATGAGAGGTGGGTAAGAAGTAGAGGGATGGAGAAAGAGAAGGGTCTCCAAACATCAAATTGCTTGGTGCTCTGAAGCCTTTCCAACAGGGTGAGGTTCTCTACAGACACATACTGACCCTTTAGCAAGATCAGGTTGCCTTAGCAGAAGAGGTTTGTAAGGAGAGTGGGCTAGACACCCCTGCACTTTCTCCCCCCAAAATAACAGCTTGACCAAAAATCTAAATCTAAGAACAGTCATTGTAGGTATCATGATACTTCTTTGTTACCTACCATGAAAGATTCAGATGGTATCACATCATTAGCTTGGCTCCATATTTTCCATCCCATGTTCTGACATGCTGACTGCATTAGCATTGTCTTTTATACTAATAATGTCTTTTACAGCATAACTCCCTGTGGGGCAAAGGAATCTTTGAAGCTACGCATTCAAATCTTCAAAGAAGGACCTTGAAGAGTACTCACAGAGAGAGTGTGGGAAAGTGTGGAACAGAGGATAATGCTATAAAGCTGGCTTTACCCTTTTTCCATCTATACTTGTACCACTGTTGTGTTTCTACCTTTTGCAGTTATGTAAAGCTCCCAGAGTGCTGAAGTTTATCCATTCTTCCATCTTGTTGGAAATGTCTACCAGTTTCTTCAAAAAGTTGTGAACCAGAAATAACCCGTTAACCTGCAGTACAAATTGCAGCCTTAATCCCTGGCAATGAAGAAATTGGGGTGGAGAAAGATGGGGGGTGCTGCATGCTCCTATACCATACACTTTTTAGGCGTGTTTTTTCAAGCCAGATGCCTAACCTTTGCTAGCATACACCATTCTCAGCATTTTGTAAGCAAAATGTCAAACCTTTGCTAATGTTACATAGCAAAAGTCCCTAGGAAATACCAATTTATACTGCTAAAGAATGTGGTAAAATCTGGTAGATTTTAGTTGTGGAATCATACTATTTAGAGAAGTAATAAATCACTCAAGAAGACATGTTTTCTCCCCTTAAGCAGACACTTTTTCTTTCATTTCCGCTATGACATATTCCACAGCCCACACAATCATTAAGTCACTACATTTTTACAGGAACTTCTGTGGTAAAAGCAAAAAAATTCCATCAGAACCAGATGATACAAAGCTGTGTGCGTGCCCTGTGGCTGCTCAGTACTGACCCTGATTAAGAGCGCTGCACTGCTCTCTGCATTTTATTCTAAATGGAAACTGCTGAGTTCTATTATGTTTATTACTTAGCTCAAGATTATCTGCAATACGTGCTTCAGGATTCACATCTTGGACCAGCCCAAACCAGGGTTGCTCATGTCTTGCGAAACATTGCATCTTCGCTGCAAGATCAAACCGAGGAGGCTCTCAGACCGTTCCTGGACAGTATTGATATTACATCTGTAGCTGTTGCCAAGAGAATTTTCAATGGTGTCATGGCAGAAAAATTTGCTGATGGAAATACTAACTGGGGACGAATTATGACCATATTTACATTTGGAGGTCTTCTCACTAAGAAGCTTCAAGAGCATGGAGTTCAGCTCACTGGAGAAGAGAAGGAACAGATTTCTTATTTCATCACAGAGTACATAATAAACAACAAAGCCGAATGGATAGATGCAAATGGTGGCTGGGTAAGTTTCTCATTTTCCACCAAAGTCTAGATTAGGAGATTTTAATTAAGGGAAACTATTGTTACAGACACTGTGAAAAACATTTTGTTTAGCTTTTTATTTAGTTGTTTAATATTTGATGTCTGGAATGTCTTCCTGAGACTTATAGTGTAAGCTTTGCTTCTGCTTTAAATAGAACAATACTAAAATGCAACTTTCTTTTCAAAAAGGCACTTTCTGTTCCTGTAACAGTCAAAACCCTAGAGTTAGTCTCGAATCATAGGATCATATGATAATTAAGAGTGGCCTTAGGAAATCATCTGGTTCAGCCTCTTGCTCAGAACACGTGAAACTATGCATGCCATGAAATTTCCATTAAATCTAAAATTAAGTGCCATCCTAAGGTTGGCGCAGCAATTTTGCTTCTACAGAGGAGTTGGTCCAAAAATACTAAACCTCAAAGTAAGGGAAGAATATACAGGTGTGATCCTCACAGCTGAAGTCAATACTTTTGCTGTGGATTTCAACAAAGCCATTATTTAATCCCCCCAATCCCCGCATTTTACTTAAATATATATATTTATATAGGTAAATGTAATTTGGGTTGAATCTTTCCTATTTGGACTTAGATAATCCTAGAACTTCCATCTATCAATGGTCAATGACTATAAAAACACTTGTCAATATGTGGATTATTTTGCCAAAGCTGCTGAAATTTCCTTCTTCCAGTGGAGGGGAGGTCCCTTTTGCTTTGTAGAGTTTCACCACGCCAATACTTTTGCAGTTAGGGGAAGCTAAGAATCAATGACATCGGTGACAGTTATTTCCCTGGTACTTTTTTTTCCTTGACCTCTATGCAAGTGTTACCTTCTCTTTCCACCCCTCTCTTGTCCCACTTCTCTAATATTTCCTATTTGCTATTACTTTTTTCCCTCATCTGTTTTCTAGTGTCTTGTTTTTCATTTTTAGATTTTGCTTGTTTTGATCTTCCTCTGTCTGGTAGCAGTAAGAAAAGGTGATAGTGAGTCATGGACCCTTGATGCATCCGATTTATTGTAAAGGCTTCTCTCTTCATCTCTTCCAAATAGAGTCAATTTTATTTAAGAGAAGTATCAACTTCTGGCAACATTCTGTCATAATACGTGTCTCATCATACTAGAATAAGGAGGCTTAAAGGAAGATATTTGTAAGTACATCACTACATCAGAAACACAGTAATTGTATCTTCCTTGAAGATGCAGGCTCAGATGATACAGGTCACATTCATTTTCTATTTACACAAGGAAGACTCAGTCTTCAGTTGCAGATAAACATTCAGCGAGGTACAGCTATTTGCAGCTACTGTTTTTGAAGCCCTATTCATCTTTTGGAGGTAGAGCTCTGAAAACCTGTCCCTCTATGTACAACAGTGCAGCACTCTGTTACTCTGATACTAGCAGTGTGGGGTGCATTTTTCCTACACTTTATTTTTAAGCTGTTCCTAACTGTGCATGTGTTTTTTTTCCATAGGAAAATGGCTTCCTAACAAAGTTTGAAAGAAGATCACTACTATCTTTCTCCAAAATTACAGCCATGTTCATAGCTGTTTTTTCCTTGTTCAGAGAGTACTACTGAAATAAATGGACCTGCCATTCATGTACAATCTAGATATTGCCACAAGCTTCATGGCTAAGCTTTCCTCCAAGCAATATCAACAAGAAAATAATTTTGTTCTACAATTTGTTTTTAACTTATTTGTATTTATTTTTACTAAATACAATGTTTAACATACTATCCTAATTGCCAAACCTGAGGATGAGATCCCTCCAAAGAGGAATTGACACAGCATCATGCAGCAATTCAAGTCACCCTTTCCAGGCAGGACTGCTCCGAGGGAGATCATTCTCCACATCCAGACAGCTCTTGGAATCTCTGTTGCACCTCCATGAAAGGACATTGTTTTACTGAAATACAATCCAATGGGTTAAGAAACAAGTTTTAATGTCATTTGTTTTGTAAATGAAATACTACTGTAATGCATTTTATTGCAACATTTGATTAAAGGGGGGGGAGGGGCGAGCTGTGTCTGTGAAGAAAAAGGAAATGCAAATTCCAGTGTAAAAATGGGTACAAGTTACTGACACAGACTAAGCAATTTTTATGGGAAGAACAACTTGTGGAAGCTAGCAACTTAAAAATGTGCACTCACTTACTGTTAATGCAATGGTGTTTCTTCATTGTATTTTTTTTAATTGCTGATATCTACAGTGAATGTTCTTTCAAATTTCTGTACTGTAGTCATGTGGCTGAACTTTTTTTAAACTAGATGTTTTAAAATAGGCAAGTATAAAATATTTTTTAAATGCAAAATTTGTGTAAATACACTAATATTTTTGAAAAATACATTAAAATATGTATTTTAAAGTCCTAGGATTGGTCTCACTTCTTTCAGAAAAATTGCAAGATGGGAAAAGGCCTACCTGAGTAAGATAACTCTTAGAAAAGCTATCACACTTCTACTGGAGAATCCAAGTAGTATATGGGTTTGACCTGAAGTCCATGGATGTCAAGACTTTAGTTTTCTATAGTACTTCTTAAGTATTATCCGGTAGCTTGTAAAAGAAACAGACAGCTTGTGGCAAAATAAATGAACTGGATCAGCCCTGATGACAGTAATTAGTGTTTTGGGATACACTGCAAAACTCAGCAAATTCACAAGTAGGACCAAACAGACTTTCAGGCTTCTATAGTCTGGGGCAACTATTGTTTTGACTCAAATTTCATTTGCTTTCAAAGGTTAAATGAAAATGCCTACCTCCAGAACACGGAAGTTCCTGACAAAAAATGACATTTAAAAACATATTTTGACATATATTTCTTTGCAGTCTAAGTCTTCATGATAAGAACAGTAATTCTTACTTAGTTCCTTTTTGTGCACTATTGTACGTGCTTATTGTAATGGCTAACACCGGTCTATTAATACCACATTCACTTCCTTTTACACTAATCTAGTAACCTATTTTATACAGTGGAGTACAGCTTTTTAATTAAATATAAAAGGCTAACCTAGCCTTTTCAAAATCTAGGTGATGCAGTAATTTCAGAACTTACCTTCATGGGTAAGGCCTGGGTTTAAACAAAAGAAGCCTGGATCATTGATGGTCCAGGGGCTCCGCATTATCTTCACCAGGACAAAACCTCCATTTGCTCTGCATTTAAGAGCAAGAAAAGCAGTGATGAGATATACCACCCAGATTCTAAACATAGTACCATGTCTGAAAACAACAGGGCTATTAGCTAAATCTTATAAAATAGTATAGATATGCTTTGTTAACTGTCATGAAGTCATTTATACATGACGGTGAGTAGTGTCCCAGGTCTCCAGGCGGTGCTGTTTAAGGGGTCCTTACAGCTGTCAGGAGAACACAATGCTGTTTCTAGAGCAAAAGATGAGGTCAAATTGATGCAGAGTGGGACTGCTGATGACTTCATCTATGTGCACAGTAGCTAAACTGAGAGGTCAAGTGCCACGTAGAACAAATTTATGAAAACCACTGTTCTCCTTTGGAAACGGTCCTTTCGGTGCTTAAAGGCGGGCTGGATCATTAAATGTGCCATAAAACAGCTTTCAGTGTCTCCCTCCAGTCTCGGGTACAGGGGCTTGCCCACCTTCCCGGCGAGGCCGACGGCGTCCCGAGCCGCGCATCCTTGCTGCAGCGTCCCTCACAAGCACCCCCACGGCTCAGGCCCTCCGGCGGGTGCCGTAGCCGTACGAAACATGTCCCGCCGAAATGTAATTCCCCTTCCTACAACATCAGGAAAAGGGAAAGCCTTCGTAATCTACGCCAGACTTAAAAGATGGGCCGTGCCAGGGGGTCGGCTCTAGCTCCTTCACGGGCAGCGGTGGCTGGAGCCGAGCGGAGATGGCGGCACTGAGCCCTCACAGCAGCGACCCCGCCGCCGGTTGAACCCCGGCGAGCGGGGCCTGGCGCCAGGCCGTCCCCGGGAACCCTGCCCGGCAGCGCCGCCACCCCCGGGGCCCGCCCGGCCGAGCCCAGCGCTCACTCGGCGCACGAAGCCACCGGGGGAGGGCGGCGAGATGGCGGCGGCGGCGGCACTGCGGGCCGCTAAGCGGGAGCTGCGGGGGGAGCTGCGGCAGCGGCTGCGGGCGCTGGGCGCGGCGGAGAGGCAGCGCCAGTCCCGCCGGCTGAGTCGGAAGGTGGGTGCGGGCCACTGGCCGCACGGCCCCGCCGGGAAGAGCGGCCCGGGGGCGGGGGCAGGTCCGGGGAGCCGGGCCCGGCCCCGGCCCCGCGAGGGGAAGCCCGCCGGGGACTTCCCAGGCCCCGCCGGGGACCGAATCGGTGACTCAGGGGACCCGGCGGCTCCTCGGCCGCTGCCCCGGCCTTCCCGGGCCTGTGCGCCCAGCGAGGGGGTGGGCGGTGAGCTCGGCCTCGGCCCCAGCCTCCCCCCCCTCATCACGCCTAATTAATGGCGGGGAGCGGAGGTGGCAGCGCCAGCCGTCATCGAGTTAAAGCGCCGGGTGTCGGTGGCGCTTGGGGCAAACTCTGCCGCAAACCCCAAGACGGCGGGGGGGGTTTCTTCTGGGTTCGTGGTGGGTGTTTTTCTCAAACGTTTCACATTGGGCTTAGCTTTATGGCCCGCTCCTAACAACACATATAAAAATTTAGCAACTGTCTCTATTTGGCCTGTTGTTTAACTGGCTGTCATTTCCTTTCTGTATCGTTCAGTGGTATTTCTTCCATGCAATTTTATTTCTAATGTAATTTCTATACTTTAAAAGATACTAAGCAGGGTTTACCTAACTGGTATCCGAGCACAGCACGATATTGGCATGTACTTTTGAAATGTCCTGTTTGTGTTTGGATTACAAAGTTTTTATAGAGATGTAGTTTATCATTTTAATAAACATAATAAAATTTTATTTTGCAGTCACTGCATGTAATAGAGCACAGTTCTCATTTTTTTTTGCAGCACCAGCGGGTACTTGTAGATGCTCTACATTTATATTGTTATTTTCTTGCCAGAGGATCTCAAATCATTTTATGGACTTCACTTAATACTAATGTGTAGCCACTTCATGAGTGGGACGTGGCAGCACAGAAACTTTAAGTTATAGGAAGCTTAAGTGGAACTCACATAACCTTTTCTTCATTGGGAATGCTTTTTTAAAAAAATGTATGTAATGTCCTACTATCATGATTATGCATTTTAATAACGACACATCCTAGACAGATCTCTCAACTTTCGGAAAATACTGGCATGCATCCTTTTCAAAAATGCAGAGTCCTGTCAACTTTATAAGCACATAGCTCATGTAGTCGGTATTTTTAGGAGCCCTCAGCCTTTGTCTAACTGCTGCTAATAAACTCAGCAACAGCACTCATTTCTGCTAGTGGGAGCACACTGGAAGATACAGCTTTTTGTTTTGCTTAAAAGAAGGCATCAGGAAATAGGACATACAAATTCATGTTATCTTGCCATTTTAATAATCTGACACAAATTGAAAATCCTGAGCATGCTTGAAACAGAGTGGCATTGTGCAAGTGGCAGAAAGTAGAGTCAGCTTCCTTACAGGAGGGTAATACAACAGACATGAAGAAATTTTTGAAAATGCTGAGAAAGTATTTGGAACAATGCAAGGCTGAGGATGTAGCTTTATAACATACATCAGTGCTTGCAGCTAATAAAAGCGAGCAAGTTATTTTATAACACCTAAGCAATATTTTTAGTCATAAAATCTCATCTCAAAATGATCTTTAAATTCAAAGTGAAACAGCTTCACAGGCTGACCTAGCCACTAGTATTTAATTAGCTTCTGGATGATTAGTCTTTTTTAATGTTTATGCTCATGATTAAAGTCATGCTGTTTGCATGCTCTGATTCTGCAGAAATAGCCATCAGCTGGTGAACAAAGGGCAGATAATATTTGTTCAGTGTGGAAATTTTTCACTCTTCTCAGAAACTGCTCCGAGTCATCGTAGCTTCATCTTCACAGTTCTGAAAACATCCGAAATTGTCTTCCTGCTAGCATGTGGTTTTACATCTTCAACTTAATTTTTTTTTTCTATATGGCATAATCAATGTGTTACTGGACATGTCAGAGCATACTGGACCTCTGTGGTGCCCACAGCACACAGCACCACTTTGAAAGAGGAGAGTTTTGTGTCTTGGTTTCTTTCTTTTCCAAACCCATGAGAAGATTTGACTCTGGAGGCCCTCAACAACATGAATCACAGGCATTGTCTGGAGTCTGCAATTTGACTAAATAGCCCATTCTTTAAAACAAAAGCTACCATGGAAATTCTGTTTTTAAGAGCTTAATCGGTTAGTTGGAAAAATCCATGTGTAAGGTCAGGCAAATTACAAAAGGAAGTAAAATCTGGTTTTGAACTGTTAAGAAGTTTCTATGGCCAAGCAACACATTACCATAACTTGGTCTGGAGTGTTGTCTTGTTTTGTTTTTTGTCTTACAAAAATATATCCATATTCTGAATATTACACCTGGGATTTTAACTGCTGTGCTGAAAAGAAAGAAAAAAAAAAGGAGTGAGAACCATATCTCAACTCAAATAGGGGCATTTATCTCTAAAAACAGGACCAGGGCAAAGGCTAAAGCTCAGCAGAGCAAGTTACCCTGCAGTTACGCAAACACAGAGCAGAGGATTTGGTGCTCCCTGTTCCATAGATAAGCACAATTTCTCAAGTGTCTAATATTTTTGACAGATTTTTTGAAAGTGTGTAGAATAAGAATAAAGCACATTTAAATGAGTAGGGACACATTTGTATTTGTTTTGACCAGATGTAAATAGCAAAATATGTAAGGTACTAGAGAACAAGAAGACAAGCTTTTAAAAACCTCTCAAATTTTAATGTGGAATTCAATCTGGAGTAGGGCAGAGACACAGTGAGGCTATGTCTCTGCCCTATGAAAAAGCTAATACTTTTTCACCATATAAGTGTTTTTTATTTTCCTTCCTATATTCAGTCTTTTATAAGACCAGCACAGAGAACCTCATGAAAATCAAAATATGGCAAGGCCATCTTTCCTTCAAGCTCTGAAAAATGTGCAGTAATAAGATCACCTATTAGAAGCAGGTGATGTTTGAAGTCATACATCTAAACTGTAGGGAAGGCGTTTCAGGTTAAAAAGAAAGAGGGCCCTGGTCTTGGGAGACTTTGTGCTCTGCAGTCATCTGCTCTGATGCTAATTTTCTTTTGAGTTATTACCATTGGTGCGCTTCGCATTCTACCTAGGCCCAGACGAGAGATGCAGCATGTAAAAAGGATGGAAGAAAAGGAATGCAAAAACCTCATGTCTTGCATAAGCTGTCTGTTCTGACCTGCTGTATCTTTCTCCAGTGATATTGGGCATTTGAGAGTGTCTGCTCTTTATGGCACAAATATTTAAAGGACCAGGAGATGGTCTCCAAAATTGTTTTTGCTGGCCCAAATCTGTGTTACAATGTTTTGTTCAATGGGTGCAAAAATTTGCCTATTTTGATTTTGCTGATGGTAGAAATGTTAGAGTAGGAAACAGTCAGTTTATTCTGTTTATGATGCATGGTTGTTTGTGTCTCTACCCTTTTCAATGGATATTTTGGTCCAGTTGTGTGTTTAATTAAAGTTAAGTAAATCCATCTTTTCATAAACTTTTCATAAACTGATTGCATCAACTTTCCATGTAGGTGATAGGCCATCCCAAGTATCAGGAATCCAAAAGAATTGCAGTCTTCCTAAGCATGCCAGATGAAGTCCAAACAGAAGAAATCATTAAGGACATTTTTGAGCAAGGCAAAGAGTGTTTCATCCCACGTTACAATCCTCACAGCAATCACATGGACATGCTGAAGTTATCATCAGCTGAAGACATTTCTTCACTTGCTTTGACATCCTGGAATATTCTTCAGCCTAGTGATGATGACAATACAAGAGAGGAGGCTCTTGCTGGTGGTGAGTATTTTCTTCCTGCTTTGTGGCGTTGAGCAGGAGTAGCCTGGAGGCCAGTAGGAAATAATCTGACATCAAGAGTGAAATGAAATGTTACACTTTGGTTTTATATGTTGTAGAGTTGCTTAAGGCAATGTAAGCAGATGCTTCTTTCTTTTGCCTTTTTTTATGACAGCAGGGCAAGAACAAGACTGCACAGCTGATCCAGCTGAAGGAAACTCAACCCTCTCAATAAATCAGCTTCTTGGTCCAATTCATGAACATCCTCAGTGCATTCTCAGCCAGCATACCATGGAGGCTCATGAAGGAGATGGGCTTGCTGAGCGTGGTTTAGGCTGCCATTGAAAGTCATGGGGATTCACAGTTTTAGGATGCACTCTGAGAACTTTAGTTTGTGCATCCTGAAAGGTAGGGAACTTTTCAGGGGATGTCTGTAGACATGAGAATTTTCTGAAATCTTTGATCCTGCAAATTGTATTGCATGGATGAATCACAGTGCTGATATGGAGCCTGCCCATGCAGAACAGCTCTCCAGACTGAGACCTTAGACTGAAAATAAAAGGACTTTCATGTAGTCCTGGATAAATACTACAGTCTTTTCTATCATTATTCTCTCACATTTTTATTTTGAACTTACAATGCCATCTCAGGCATTGGATTCTTCAAAGGATTGAAAAATTAAAAGTTTGTTTAGATATAGTTAGTGGCATGTGTGTTTTGGTCACAAAATAACCTCTCCTTTCCAAAATTCTAACCTAAAATTCCCCAGCTTCCACAAATTTGTAAACAAACTTCCTTTTTCAGTGTCTTCGTTCATTATCTGCATTTTTTTTTTGTAAACACATTAATATGAAACATCTGCAGAAATGTTTAATGTTAGTGGAAAACTCATGTAGGATGCATGCTTGAAACCTCAGTCTGGGAAAATTTTCTTAGGTGGAAATCCACCATGCAGACAGCTTCCACACCTCGCAGATTTAACAGCTTTTAATGCTTGATAAAGGAACGTAACATTTATATGACTCTGTTTGGTTGAACTTGGGTTTATATTTGCCTTGGGATGCCAGTGTACTTTCCCAGAACACTTCACTGTGTTTGTTTCTCTTTATTTTCAATCTCTACCTCTTTCCTAATTCAGAATCCTTTCTGTGCCCATGTTTTAACTAGGAGGGGATTTCACTGCTTCATACAACCATCTTCTTTACATTTACTATTTAGCACTGTTACTTGTTTTCCTAATTTTTGTCAAAAATTTGTGTATATTGGTGGGATTTAGGGGCTTTTGAAGGTAATCCTTACGATGTCCATGGTTTTGTTGACTGAGCTTAGTTCAGGCACTCAGGACAAGCTTTTGTACTACTCATGAGCTGCTGTTAATTGAATTCAACAAGTCAGTTGCAGAGATCACAGAGTAAACACAAAACAATTTTAGGTGTGATGGGAGAAAGGACTATTTGGTGTAGAGTGCACAGAGATGTACCTGTTGGGGGTGGCCCTGGTGTCAGACAGTGAGGATGGGGGAAGGCAGGAGGAAGCTTTGATACCTGGCTAGTTCTGGAGCTGCTGTTTCGTTCTCTGCACCATGGTATGGTTATGGGCAGAGAGCAGTGCCAGAAGAGCTACTGCAGTCTACAGAGAGGTGCCAGGAGAGCAGTTGTAAAAACTGGTGTATGGCCATGTCAGACTTGTTCTGCCTGAAGCTCAATTGTAGTCTGTTTGTACTCAGTAATTTAGGAACAATTTGGTTTAGGATTGGAAGCCAGACCTTGGTCCTTTATCCTTGGTCAGTTTTTGTAGATTAGAGAATAAGTTTATTTTTTTCCCACTATTGCATAATCAGATTCCACCCCACTCCCAATTTGTTCTCATAGAAACACACACAGCATCTCAATGTGTCTTTAAATTGCTGTATTTTTTTTGTGTCAGTTATATTTTTTGAACTTCGGTACATTTGCAGGAATGCAAATTGCCTTGCTACTACATCCATCCTCCATTGTTGGAATTACGTGTGGATGAAACATTTATCTCTGTGATGTTATCAAATACTATGGTGATCTGAGGCATTTACATTGTTATAAGGAGATAACAGGATGTTACATTAGTAATGTTCCAATTGCTGGCTGGCATGAGTTGCTGTGTAATTTCCAAGAAATACCCTGCAGGTACATAAATAAGTCATGTCATTTCTGAATGTATTCATTTTGCATGACAAAAAGCTTAAATTCACACTGTCCTTAAAACTTCAGGCATGGTTACTGTGAAGAATAGCTCAAATGTAAGACTAGGTATAATTTTTGCATGAGTTTCCAGTCTGTGGTAGCACTCACAGACAGTGTTGAATAGACATGAACCCACCCGTTTGAACACGGTCCTTTTTCTGTTGGGTCAGGATTTACCCATTTTCATCTTGGCAGTACACCACATTACACCTTGTTGGTATAAACAAAGATCACTGCAGTTTTGGTAATACAAAGTCTGCCTTCTTCTCTACTGTGCATGGGTGACAGTAACTGTCATACAAAAAGTTGCTTTCTTCAGGCTAAATGGACACAGTAACAGAAGGAACAAAGGTGCAAAAAGCTCAGATATTTTGTTTGGAGTAGGGGCTGTATGTAGGTGTATGACTTGGTTCATTTCCAGCTATACCTGCTGAAAGATTTAGATAACTGGAGCAAGTCAGTGGTACATTTTCTTATTAGGTACCAATTCCTATTTGTATCCTTGCCCATTAGAAGTATAAATGTGCACTGGTATTGGGTTTTGCCCAAGGTAATGCTTTTAATGAAAGTTCAGGCGGGTTGCAGTAATTGTTTACAGGAGTGTAGATGCCTTGCACAACTTTGGGAGGGGTAAATCAGATAAAACCATGCTCCCTGTTTGCTTTTTATCATGACTCCTACAGAAATTTAAAGGACACTTCCCCAGCAGCTCTAATTTCAATGTGGTTTAGGGAGGCGGTGTGATACAGCAGGCTGGACATGGGTTTCCTCATTTGTAATGTTACATATTATTCCTTAAACCTGTTCTGAGAACTATGGGTGAAAAGCTAAATTGTTCAATTGAAAAAGAGATTATTTTTACTGGGGCTCAAAAAAAAAATGGTTGAGTATTTCCGTATGGTAAAATTCTTGGAGGTTACTTCTTTGAAGGAAGGCAGGTGGCCAAATTTTGACTGAGGAATATCAGCTGGAAGTCTTGAACCTGAGCAAATATGCTTAAATGTTCATAATTGAACTGAACTACTGACTGGGAGTTGAAAGTGTACAGTAAATGATAGACAACTTTTAAAACATACACCTGGGTAATGGGGAGAGGGCTTTTTCTTTGGCCAAAAAATGAAGAGTTATTAGAAATTATGGCTCTGAATCTGCTTACTGTAATGGATTTTGAGGTGCTCTCCTAAGAAATGAGATTATGTATACAAACTTAATTTAGCTTCTTTATCTGTGTAAATTCTGCCCCAGTCTTTAAGTGCATTAGTACATAGTCCTTACCTGTCAGATCTCTGCTTATTCAAAGATGAACCAAGATGCAATGATCTGGGCTTTTTCAAAGACTAGGAAGATGAGCACTGCTTGCTCTTAATGAATGCTGTGAAGAAGTATGAGTTCAGTCATTTGCTTTCTGTCTGTTCAAGTTATTGCTGCAGGCCTTTTTTTGCTGTGCATTATTCAAACCTTGGTATGGAGATGGAGGTCTTCATTTCTGTATGAGTTCTTCATCACTTCAACGCTTAAGGACTTAAAAATATTAACTGGTATTTACTGTTGGAGAAGCAGCAGAAGCTCAGGATCCTGGTTCAAGCCTGGATTGTGCAAAGGACCTGCCCCCAGTGAACACTGACTCTTTTGCTTGTTTTTCCAAACATTATGGTTTCTTCTCTGTTTCCTCCAAAATTATAATTTCCTAGACTTGTCCTTGGGCTAGGTCCCCTTTTACAAGTTTTAACTTCTCTGCCACTATAATGTCCCATTCCATCCTTCTGCTCTTTGCCCAGCCTATTTGAATCTTCCTCTTCAAGTGCCCTTCTCTGGCCCTTCCACCATATTCCCCATTTCCTCCTGCTCTCAGTCCTAGCCTGTCATTTCAGGGGCAGCTCAGCCAACATAAATAGCTTGCCCCTGCCAAGCTATTTGTCCGCTTCCAGACATACAAGATTCCCCATCCTTATTTACTCATTTCCTACCCCACTGTGCTGGCTTATTTCTCCTTTTCATTGGCTTAGAAAAACTCTGTTAAATAGCACTTTTTTTTACTGAACAGTAGGAAATACATAGTTTTGTGATGGTTTCTTTCGGGTAGTGCCTGATTAAATAAGCTGCTGCCCTCTCTCCTCCTCTTGGTCCCCACCCCTCCTCTCCTAGGCCAGCATAGATGACCATGTAGCCACATTGGGAGCAATACTGGGAAACCAGTCTTGATTAGAAGTAACCCAGCCCCAAGAAAAAGCTCTTCTCTGAGACAGGGCCATGACACAGATTTGGACTGATGCAACTGAAGGGCTGGCAGGAAGCTTGTGATGAGGGGTTGCGTAAACGGGTGGTATGCCAAAAAAATCTTAGTGAAACTTCAGTCCTCATTTCCTTCCATGTTTCAGTTCCCAGTCTTGCCCCAGTCAGCAGGACTAGAAGCAGCTACTGAAATGAAAGTCCTTTGGAGTCCTTGTGGTTGGGGCTGGCAAGAGGAGCTGAGCCTGCAGCTCCATGTGCTCTGTCTTTGCAGCAGAAGTGGTTTAAGCAGATTTCCCTCCATGTGTTTTCAGTATATTCCTGCCTCTCTGTGGTAAGATGGATCAGCTTGCTGCTTTGGATGAAGGGTATGTTCCTCCTCTCCTCCACCCTGTTTCGGCTGGGATTTTTTTAACCCAGACAAATGGATCCAATTTACTGTGTGGCCATATCAGTGCAACATGTGTGGGATGGGAATGAGTATCCAGGATGGAGGGAGCATCCCCTGTAAACTGGCATTGGCTCCTAGAGAGAGTTGTGGGGCCACCCATGCCACTGTGACTCCAGCAGCCATACAGAGAGGGTAGCATCTTCAGAGAGACCCTGACACATCTTTTCCCAGCCTGTGAAAATGGCAGGTTTTCAAATATTGTATAAGCCAAATCAAATGGAATTGAACTGGACTAAAGTCACATTGTTGACACAGAGGGTACTAAGAGCAAGATTTCAAGTTTTTGCCTCAAAACATGGAGCAACAGAGCTTTCTCCTTCATTTTTTTTTTTTTTTGCTAGCTTTGTTCTCAGAAACTAGTGAACCATTTTGCCTGAAATAAAAGAAATAGAACACAGTCCCCTCAGTTTGGCATAAATACCTAAGCTGAAAAATGTCAGCACTTGAAAATACAGCATCTTATATGTAACAGGGCATGCTGAATAATCTGCTACTGCTCTACTAAAGCACCATGTATTTTTGCTCCAAGAAATTAATGTATTAAAAACTGGACTTCTATTTTGTAATGTAGTTTGGAGACTTCTGGCGTTTTCAGTGCTAGAAACTTTGGTGGTCTACTGATCACAATATATGTGTTCTACCTTCAAGATAATTAGTGAAAAATGAACTAGATAATCCGTGTTTTAAATAACAGTATATTTATTATTAATAATAAGGAAAGAT